AACGTAAATTGAAACATTAAGGTAGTACACCCCTAATGTAGTATCTCCACTTTGAAGAGTATTCAAATAGGCTAGAATCACTGTAAATTGTTTTGATACTGAAGGACATGGGTTCAAACCCCAGAAGAGGAAACTTTTTTTTCTTTCTTTTTTTTTTTCTTTTTTAACATTTTTATTAATCTCTCAGATCCTTAATGGAAGAAAAAAGTGTTTCATTTTAATTATATAATTATTGTAGGGATATATTTACTAAATAATGCCAAATTTAATAGCAAATATGTTACCAGATATTTTCAAAATTTAATAAAATAACAAAATACACGGTAAAAGTATTTTATATTTTGCAAAACCAACCAATAGACATTTAAAAAATTTAGGCAAACTTTGAAAACAGCCCGTCATTGTGGAAAATTTTAGGGATATTTTAAATAAGGCTTATTACATAGGGAAATTGTCATTTAAGTGTTAAAAGTGGGTGGGTCGGGGTTACATTTTTATACATATTAAAAACATTTCGTTTAAAAATAATCATTTTGCTTGTTTAATTTGTTACCTAAATGACATTATTTGTTTCTCAACAATGAGCGATAGGATAACATTTTCATAATGATGATATTACAGCTTTTTTAGAGTTTCCTCATTTCCGTAAAAAACCCTTCTAATAGCAAAGTTTTAGTTCAGAAAAATGTCAATAACTCATAAACCACACGGTAAATTTTGTTTAAATTTTGCATACAGGTGACATTTAAGGCATATAACTGTCCTATGTTGTCGATTTTACAGTTCCTTATAGTAACCATTATGGGTGTTCTACCTTAAAATTGCAATTTTTTGTTAAGGTGGTTGTGTAGATCACAAGGAGCATTTTACAATGTGTTACTTTGATAACATTCAGTGCGTTATTGTCCAAAGATAATGATTCTATCATCAGTTCTGACTTTTCCAAAACATTTAAAGATTTCTCGTTTTCAATTATGTTCTTTAATAATGACGTTGTGATAAGTTATTGACTATATCTTATTACATTATTATAAACGTATATCACAACACAATGCTACTCTAAAATAATTATATTATTTGTAATTTTTTAAAAATGAGTGTTTATTTCGTTTTTTAGAGGTAATTCAAAGATATCTTTCAATAAATATCAAATAACAAAATTGTTATTTTTCTCACAATTTACTAAAGATATAGTACAGTAAATTAGAATAGTTAAATAATGTTCTTCAATTGCAGAGCTTTTGGAAAAAGAATTAAACAAAAGCGTTAAGCTTTTGTTCGATCAAAGGTTTGAGAAACTTGAAGCTGAGCGAAATGCACACATGGAAAAGAAAATGCGTGAATTCGAAAGAAATTTCACAGAAAGGGCTGGTGAAGAAGCAGTAAAAAAGATGTCGTTTCTTGAACGCTTCAAACTACTGTTTATATAGAGAAAATGTGTTTGTGGAAGGAATATTATTAACATATTTTGAAAAAGTGCAGATATTAATAATAATCATGTTTTCTTTATGATTTTTTTCGCAAACATTCGCTCAATTTAAACACATATTTGTTCGCTTTTGTGTTCGTTTGTTTGTTTGTTTGTTTGTTTGTTTGTTTGTTAGATCGTTCGTCATTTGTTTGTTTGTTTTTGATACTGGTCTTACCGCGCCGAGCACTATTATTATTAAGGTTAAAGTGTCAGTACACGTTTATTTAATGTTTAACGTAAATCTTAGAATATAAGGTTATTTTCTCTAATAAATTGATTGAGCTTTTTAATTGAACTGAGTCAAAAAGATCTTTCAGTGAAATTTTTCGAAACAAACTATCATAAAAAAAAAGAAAAAAATATTGAAAGTGAAATATTATGCTATACAAAATGGATAATCGTCTCTTGTTAAAAGGTGAGAATGTCTTACTATAGTGTGTACAATTCGACATCTAAGAGAAACTTTATGATGATAAAGACATGTATATACTAGTATCATGAATTATGTTCATTTCGGCTTTTTCACCCTTTGATATCAATTTCAGTCTATATACGTTTCCTTATAGAAGGTTTTAGTCACTATTTGGTAATAATAAGTCTACTGTTTCAGTATTGAATGATTCTTCAGCCAAAGATTATATTTTGTTATTTCCTTATATTCCTACGTAGCTTTGGATCCAATTGAGTGGTTGCCTTAAAGCGTTAAGAAATCAACATTGCAACCAACGTTTATCGGTGCTTGATCGTAAGAAGCACCCTACTGGGTTCGAACTACTGGAGTCCATGCATCACTTAGCTGCATCACATGAGGTTGTTTTGATCTCTGGTGTTTTTAAGTGTGTTACATCCATAATTATGTTAATAATAATTTAACTGATAATAATTAACTAAATAATTTTGTATTTATTTTGTTTTGTTTTTTTGTTTTGTTTTTTTTGTGGTTTTTTTGATTGTTTGTTTTTGTTGTGTCTCTTTGTTCTTTTGTTATTCTTGTTGTTGTTGTTGTTGTTGTTGTTGTGGGTAAGTTGTGTACGGGTCTTTTTTAAGTTGGCCCCGATGACATTAACATGACTCCCTGCGCATGTTGTAACCTTTTTTAAATGAATTGCTTTAACGAACGTGTTTATCTCATAGCACTTAATCACGTTTAACGAGGTTAAGTGCCCACCACGCTTGAGGGCAGGGAACATGCTTGCAAAAGTGGCAGTTCACCTAATGGTAAATATCATAAAGATTTGACTAAAAAGCGACACCGTATGAATTACGTAAATATACAATTAAGATTACAGAGCTCAGGTTTATCAAGTTTTTAGTTATAGCTTAAAATGTGACTATGCTATGCTTTATTCATGGTTTGGCTCCATTCAAAGTCTTGTGTTTTATAACCTTCTCATAACTTCAAGAACCGTTACATGATATAACATAAGGACTTTCGAAAAGTGTTATGTTCATTCATCACAATGCCTTGTGAATTCATGTACAAAATCATCGTCCGGGCAAGTTATAGTACCAGCGTTTGTTTCGGACGTACATATATCACATAACAAGACTTAAACACTGATCACTCGAATGCTTATATTGAAAAGAGAATGGCGTGTACATGCTTCTCTTTCTAAACATTGAGTAAGCAAAATCACGTCTAGAGGCTGATACAGTTGGTTACAGTTGATATTGAAGGAAAAACTTTTTTGTTCTATTCCCATGCTTCAGCATACAGACTTTCTTTTGGCGATGTTAGGAATGCGTTAAAGTGAAACGGTATATTACCGAGCCTTTTAGCAGAGACTTTTTTATCGTTTTAATGATTAAGGGGATTCGATCCCCAGATTCATTATACAAAAACAAATTAACTTTTAGATATTTAAATTTACCTCTTTTTATCTTTAAAAACTATGTCAGGTATAAATTTGTGTCAATCCGTGTTATTCGTACGTTAAAAAAATATACTCATAACTAAATTTAGTCCCTAGACTTGACTGTTACATAGATATGAAAATTTAAGATTATCAATTATCAATAATTACTTAAATGATTACGATTAGTTAAAAAAATATATGTTTATCATTGGCTAATTGTCTAACACGTTTTTATCGTCCTTAACCTATATTTCTGTGTTGCTTCGTATGTATGTTGTTTGTTCTTTGTTGTTTTTAAAGGGAGCTTTGTCACTCTTCCATTTTGGTATTTCCTTTTTAAATTTTTTAATCGTTTCGTACATGTTTATTCACTGAGCATATCTTGAATAATTATTTTGAGATTTAAAAGGATATAAATAGATAGAAAACAATATATGGAATAGAACTTTAGAATTTTCATTGTATATAGATGCGTAGAAGGTAGCTTTAACTTACAACTGCCGTCCATGATAAGGCACAATTCAACCGACCACTGCACATGAAAACAAACCTAAAGTTTTATAATCTTGCTGTTTTGGCATTCTTCTACAATTCCGCTTTTTATTAATAAGGCCTGTTTTAAGACGACAGAGGTAATTTCAAGCTACAATCAACCCTTATACTTGTTGTAACTATTTTTTTATATTTGACCATTAGCGATATGATATGTTTGATGCTTCCCTTGATTTTTAAATGTTAATGAGATTATTGTATTGTTATTTGATATTGTAGACAACATATATTGCTGTACACTAGTAATGTCTTTCCTTTAGATATTAATTCATTAACATTAATTCTAACACGATCCCCATTTTTCCCTATTGAACATAGAAGATCCGAAAGTTATTATGCAATAGAGTCACTGTTTAACGTTCTGTATTTAGACATGTGACGTAATCATTATACATGTGACGTAATCACTATAAAATCCGACGCGCTGACAATAAGTACGGAAACAAATCAGGCGCATTTTGCTTAATAGCAGGTACTGTAGCATGTATTTGTTTATGTCGTGTTAGACTCGAAATAATATATCCAAATCGGTGATTTTATCACTGGATAACATCACTGTTTGGAGTTCGGATGCGAGGAATCATATATATTTCCTCGCATCCGAACTCCAAACAGTGATGTTATTGAGCGATAAAATCACAGTTTGGGATATATTATTTCTTAAACAACGTGTACTAGTATTTGAATAACACAATAAAGGTAACTGGACAGTTACGTTAGGCGTAAACAGAAGACATCTGCATTAGAAATTGTATACATTAAGAATCTTTATTGACATAAACAGCTACCTTTAATTGACAAAATGAACCTCACCTCAATTTGAAAAGAGATTAAGAAAAGAAAATATAACTACTTTCAAGAAAACTTCTTCTTTGCAGAGTGCTGATGATCAATGTCATAGAAGTCCCATGTCTGCAACGACTACATTATGTCGTTTTGTAATTGCGAATTTCTAAAGTTATATGACTTTTGTTTATGAATGTCTAACAAAAACTTTGTTTAAGCTTCATTTTTTCGGCGACACAAGGAGGAATTTTACGAACCTTCTAGCGTTGGTGACGCTGGTTAACCTATATGGTTTACCTTTTTAAAAATAGGTTTTATTGAATGTTATATTGGCATAATTAAAAGGTTACCTGCTGCTTTATTTGTTGACTTAGTGTTTTTTCCAAGGGCTAATTTGAATCCTTATGCTATCAAAAACCGTTCAAACCATTTTTAAAGGTGTAAACGACAAGATATTTTAATCTTTATATGTGGATGTACTTGACTAGTCGTGCTTTCACACACATAGGAAAGGGGCATCGGCGATAGGGTATTGCGTTAGTGTGTTCAAAACATACATGCTTATTTAACATCTTGAAACTTATATATGGACTCATATAGGAATACAATTATTTAAGTCATCTCGTGTGAAACAATTATGAGAAAATAATTATTGGGAAGGTACCCTAAAACATATTTTACATATAGCATCTATGTTCTGACAAAACTGACACGCTCAATTTGATTTTATTACTCAACTGTGTCTGTTATAAAGAAACCGGCATTATCAACTACCACTAAAAAGGTGCACATGTTAGAGTGTTTTGGATTCTGCCAGATATTGCTGTTGTATATAATGCATAATAATAGTACTTTTTATGTGAACTATTTACATTATTTCTGCAATACTGGTAATCAATGAACATTTTTAAGGGATAAACAATGTTTTCATAATGTTAATTAAGGGAATTGCCATATCCGATTGATAATGTACAGATATTGATTTTTTTCTTATCGTTCAAACCGATAAACCGATGCGAATAAATCATCATACACAAACATCTCATGCCCTATAAAATTTAATCAATAAACTTTCAGCGTTTGGACCACATGATGTTCCAATATTATTTATTAATAGACCCAATCTTATCAATTTAGCCTAGTTGCCATTTCCGGAGTCCAACAAATCCATTTAAACGTATAAGCCTCTTTCATTTTTACAGTCTAAAATATATATATATCATATGCATGTCTTACTTCATCTAGCCTACTTTATTTCCAGAGTACACAATTCAATATCAATAATCCTTTTTGAACTTAAAGTAACAAGTTTCTGTCAAAATGTCAAAAATGTTGGTGTGAAAACACATCTTTATACATCGTGATATAACAATACTCATTATATTAGACGCATGCACAGATGCAAAACCTACATTTATATGTATATCAAAGCAGTCGGTAAGTTTGACAGCTCTGTACAAGTCCAATGGAGTTCAGTGCTGTACTCAACAATGCACAACAACCTTATATTATTACCTTTAAGCTTTTTATGTATGCTGTTTATGCTTAATTAGGATCCATATACAAGTTAAAGCACGAAAATAAAGCTTTCTCTGTCAATTATGGACCCCGGACCTGTCAACATGCCCTAATTATTAATTATTAAGTACTAAATGGTAATAAATTATATCTTCGTGAATTTTCCACAGTTTCTTAACCAAAAAAAAATTTTGAGTCGCAAGTAGGACACTGTACAACGGTGAATGTGTGCCTTAACGCATAGTAACCAATGACAATAATGACCTGAAAAAGTATCACGCTTTCAATACTGTTTTATCTTTATTTAACGATATTCACTAAAGTAGGGAAGTGTACTGTTAAGATAACTGATCTACTTTGAGTTTGATCTATTTTGTTATGTTCTTACAAATACAGAATTATGAAATGAAGACGACGAGGTTTTGGATAATTTGACAAGGCAGCAGCCGATAAGTGGATTGAACCGTGTGTGACAAGAGAGTTTGTGCTCTTCCAAAATTGATCACATGCCTCTATACATAGACAATATCTCATTTTTAGATAGTCAACATTTATTAGTCATTTGGGGACCAGATCAATCGGCTTCTTAAGGTCAATGACAGATACAAGGCTAAGTTGCTTAAACTAGAATATGTTTGTCGCCCAACATCTTTTAGTGTCTTAAAAAGTCTTGGCAATTTTCAATTATGTATTGGCTAAATTCATTTTCTTCTAAATTTCACGTTAGTACTAGGAGATTGGAAATTGTTTTCATTATAGAGAAATTCTTTTTAAAACAAACCATAAGAAGTTGATCATAAGGGCTTCAAATAAACTACAGTTTAGAAACAGTAAATATATTCTTCAAAACTTCGAAAAAATAGTTCATCCGTGGACTTAAAATCTCCGGAAGTTAACATCAGTCTTTCAGTCTCGGCTTTCAAAAATGTCACCCAATACTCCTGAACATTTCAAAGCTCGTTTTTTTAAATCAAAGAAAAACATGAAGACTTTATCCAAATTAAAAAACATGGCTCAAACGATATTTTTCAAAACAAGCTTAAAATCGTTTTACATCTTAAATGAGACTACCTGATAATGCGTCTATATTTACCTATATCATAAGTCATTAGCGTTATCATACATTTCACAGCATAATGACTCAAACTTGTGATTTCTTTTTTCAGATTCGCTCTCCGTGATGGCGAAAATCCGATGAATTAATGATTTAGAAACTGCTGCTGTGATTTAATAATATTTCAAAAAGTTAGTCAGTCATGTAATGTTTGACCCCAAGTCACGTAGAAATATGCGGAAATGAAAAGGAAACTGCATAAATATTTCAGTCCCATCATGTCAAAAATACCTCAGTGGAGTCCCTTTAACTTATTTCCTCTGAATGGAAATTAAATTAGGGCAAAACCGTCTTCAACAAACTTCACGCTATTAGCCCCTGTCTTGCTGTATCACAATCTCCCTATCTTTTACACCGTTATGATCAAGAAGATGTCGAATTGGACAAACTTGAGTTACTCATCTTTTTTCTTGTTAAAGGACATAATATTCAATTTTATATTTCTTGCATTTTTTTTTTCCAAAGATTACCTTCTTGATTGACATGATCTTGAACAGGTTCTTTATAGATACTATGGAGTCAATTCAGTTTCAGAGCTTTGTGACTCGGTACTATCTAAAGTATTGATTACTTAAAGGTTTAATTAGATCCCAACAATCAATCTTAAAGTTGGTGAGAATCACATAGACTTTACAGAGATGTGTCCTAAACCAAGTGCAAAAGAATGTACAACTCTGTTTGTTTTTTGTCCTCTTAAAATCTAAAACAAACATATTCTCTCAATAACAAAACTAAAACAGCTTGTTTAAACGTAAGAAATATTGGGATTTTGATTAAGCATATTAAATATGTATGTCATTCATTTTGTTTACAGAACTGTACTTTTTTGTAAGCAAAAAAAAACAACAATGAATTACTGAAGAAAACTGATATATGCTTAACCAAAATCTATGTTCACTTTTATATTTCTTTATAAATTATGCATATATCAAATCGTCGCTGATTCTTTAGAAAGTTCACAAACAAAGAGCTTAAAGATCCGTGCATGCGTATTTGACTAACTCAGGGTTTATAAACACGGACGTGAAAGTATCGACAATTGAAACGGCATTTTTTTTTACAAACATTTTTGTTGTGATTCTTGTTGTTGTTGTTGTTAGTCTGACTGATTGATTGACAACAACAACTAAACTAAGCGTATCCTGTGTATTTGTTTGTGTTCCGGTTTTGTTTGTCGAAACCATTAGCGTTTGTTGTATAATTATGTCAATGCAATTTGAACTTGAAAAAGAAATTAATATCCTGTGTAACTAAAAAATCAGAAACATGATCAAACATTAATGTGTTAAGATGTTTTGCATTTGTTTTCAGAGATATCGCCCTAGACAGGAACTTTATCATTGTCCCTCATAGTAAACAGTAAACAATGTCAATATATTTTGCAAGTACAAATAAATTTAGAAAAATGTGTATTTGGTTAGAAAAAGTAATAGATAAAATAAAATGCTTATTTTTACAATAAAAATTAGCATTTCTTTGATTTTAAGTCAGCGATTAACAAGATCCACTTTTAATCTGCTTTACAGAATTAAGATTGCGATTGACAAAGTAATTAAACACAGGTCTCTTATATCTAAAACTGCTTAATCTATGTTGTTACTTATTGAAAGATAATGAAAAAGTTGCAGACTGTTTCATTGAGCAGTTTTCTTGACGGTAGTTGTAGTGCAATCGACTGTCTTGTATTTGTTTATTGATATTGTTGCTACAATACTCAAAGAATATTCCCTGTAAAACAAATAAAACTTGAACTTTCATTCAGTGTGAGTATTTCCTCCGCATCTTTAAAACGAACAACCACAAATTGACACCAAAACAAGCCTTCAAATAAAATACAAAACACGGAAAAAGGCCTAAATAAGAAAAGGTCTTTCAGAGGTCAATATATATTTTGAATGTGTTTGTTTTGTGTTTACATCAATACATGATAAGTTGATTTAAATTTCAAAAAACTGAAAATGCCATGGTAATCATTTCAAGTTTTAATCATATGCTCTTCAGGCAGTATGATAATGTTATTCACTGGTCAAATTCATTTGGTCAAAATATTAGCCATAATGGAGTTAGATAACTTAAATTACAGAATTCAAATATTTTTTTTAATATTTGTCATATAAGGCTAAAGGCCATTAAAATTCAAGGTCATTCTTTGGTTACGTCACATAAAGGTTTTGTTTAAAGTGTTGTTAGGTTCAAATTCATTCATAAATTAGAAAAAATTCAGATAGTTTATAGAAAATTTAACTATTTGTCTTTAAAGATCAAAGGTACTTATGGGTCAAGGTTATTTTTGCTCCACTTCACGGCGTTATCCTTGCTGGTGGTAGATAGTTTAAAATGAAAATCAAATTAGTCTATAGAAAATACAATTATGGCGAGTTGAGCAAAATGCATTGACTTTGCCTTAACTTACAATGTCAATTTAATGTCAAGGATACACCTGTATTGCTCTGCATGAGATTTTCATGGTAAAGGTTAGTTTGACCAAGTTTAATTCAAATCCGTTTATTAATTAATATGTTTTATAATGGATAAAGCAGTTATTCATCATAATGGTCAAAATAATTTGAAAGTTGAGCTCAGTTTTGACCTCATAGACGTATTTAATAAATGTTTGTTATTCCAAAGAAATAATTGGGAGTAAAAATTAAGCAAGTTGTTATTATTTTATTTGGCTTTGCAGGTCAAGATCAATTTAAAGTTAAACTTGACTTATTTACATGAACTTTTTTATCCTTACATTGTGCCCATAAAAGTGTCAAAGATAATGAGTGCACGTGTAAAAGTCAAACTACCTTTACATTTTGCCAAAATAATTAATAACCCACCGTCACTCAGAGACATGTTTATTAAAATCATAAGGAATGTATGAATCATTCTTTTTGTTAAAGTGTTGAATAGTCTTTTTATGATTTAGATAATTCTTATATTTTTTTTGCAATTATCAATTATTGGGAATCTTTTTTTTTTAAGAATGTTACTAATTCAAATCTACTTGACAGCGAAAAGAAATAAACATTATGCCACTTTTAAGTAAAGAAGGAAAAAGGCCACAAAAAACAAAGATACAAGGCATCCGTAAAGTACAAAGTTTGTAGCCTATGTTAGTAAATGATAATGATTATACAAGCAAAAAACCTGAAATATCGTATGTTTTTAATCAAAGTCAAAACCGCTAACGATATCCATTATTATAACACAATGACAATAAATCTATCAAGCTTTATTACATTTTGGTTCATAGGCTTAAAGTAATACTGATGGACAGGCTTAAACCAGTATATACCGCTTTCAGCTTGTGTGCCTCTTCCAATTACCTACTTGAGTACAACTCGTATTTTAATCTGAAAAAAGTTAACATCAGCAAATTTGGCCTGGTCAGCATGTATACTAATACTATACTTCAATGTTTAAATTTTAGTTTAATAACAAAAATGATAAACCCGAAATATGAACAGTATTATCTCCACATTTAAACATGTAACACAGCCTTTATTCAAGTGTTTAGATATAAAATTCCGAAAGTGTTTTTTATATATTATCTGTATGAAAAAGATACGGTTTTTGTTCGCAAGAGCAAAGGTTTTATGAATGTGTTTAGTGTTTTTATTAGAAGGATACATTTGAAATGTAGGTGATTAATATATTTCAGTTTTATCATTTTCAATTGAGCAAAAAACAGGCACAATTTAGATATTTGATCTTTAAGTTCAAGGTCAATTATGAATGAAGGTCAAGGTTAGTCTGGTCAAATATAATGTTTTTTCCTAATCAAGTATGAAGACAATACACAAAGAACTTAAAAAATTATGGTCTTGGTGCAACTTTGCTGGAAAAAAAACGGCATCGGCAACGGCAACGTCGAAGTGCCTGTAACAATTTCTCGAAACAATAATTTTTCAATCACAATCTAAATTCAACCACATCTTTTATTCTGTGGCGCAGTAGTCGTGTCTGACTAAAATGCTAAAGTCACATGTTGTATTAACTTCAACACTTGCAGTAAATTCCATAATTGATTGTCAGATGTTATCAGAAAAAAACAATAAGAAACTGTTTTGTTTTAAGTGACACCAATATAGATTGTCGCAACGTTAACTATAACAAAATAGTCACTTGTTTAAGAAAATAGTTATGAAAAATCCAAGCATCATGTTCAAATTTCTTTTTTATAAAATATTGGCTACAGAGACCTTACGCATTTAAGGTGTTTTTGATAAATTTTTATTTAAATGTTGTAGCTATACAATATTTCATTAGACTTTACATAGGGGTCCTAAATTTAACAACACCCTAATTTGTAATCAAGTTTTTTTTCAAAGTGATGACTGAAGAATAAATATTTTGTAAGTGATGCCAGCTGGCAGATCTGGACAAGTTTCTAATATTTAGTAAACATTATAACGTGGGGTAAGGTAAAATGGCTGTTATGGTTTTTTGATGGGCATTTATCAAACGTACTAAGAAGTGACACCTTCAACTGCCCTTTTGGTACTCATTTTATAGTAGCCATACAAATGCTTTGTTCTGTTATGTATGTTATATTATTAAGTGTAAAAATTTTAAAAATCTTGAAAAGCTGAACACTGAAATTACTGAATAGACTTTTGTGAAATTTTCTGCCGGACATATCTGGAACAATTATTCAGTGATAACCCCTGCTGTTTGAATTAAAAGGTTGAAATATTTCATATGAGTGCGTCATTTTGTTTTTTATTTTTGATTGTTTTTTAGAAATGCCAAAAGTTAAAATGTTTAAAATGTACCAACCTTAAGTGAATAAATGCTGATAGAGCGGCTTAATAGCTAATGATTTAAAGCATAATTTCCTTACCATTTATTTATTGGCTGAAAAAAGCTTAAAACTGATTGAATATTGGTTGTGTCGGGATACCTCTATTTTTTATTTTTTATTTTATGATTATTTTTTTTTTTTCACATACAATGAGATCAAACACTTATTATGGCCATTTTCAGTTAGACGCCATTGTATGGTGTCCGATGAAAAGTCATTTCGAACCCGCGAGAAATTTTTTATCGTTTTATCATAAAATGTCGCGGGCACTTACAAATGCGGCGAGATTTATAAGCCAAAGTTGTACAAAATGTCGCGGGGAATGTATAAACCTAAAAATGTTATAACAGTTGTTGGACACCAGCAAGGAATATTTTGACTCCAATGCCACGGTTTCACTCGTGTGTCCTAGCAGAAAGAAATCAGCGGCATTTTTGCCAGTGTAGTAGAAATTCTCATTACAATCGACGGGAAAAAAATGTTGACTGTATACTTTTTGTTCCTTAACAACAGTCTCATAAAAAATATCGCGGCCAGTAATCGCAATTTTTTTAGCCCCGATTGATTGCGCAGAGACATTTCCCGGCAAAAAAAACGAGGCTTACTGCTCAAAGGCACTTTTTACAAGGTATGCATCTTAAGTAAACATATGTTTGCGTGGCTAAGTCTACCATGTAGACAGAAAATATATTGCAATGTCATTCTTAAAAGTCGTTTTTTTTTACGACAGTAAAGTGTGACAGAAAAATCTCTGGAATTTCTATAGGCACTGACAATTATATACAATTCCGATATAAAAATCTCGCGGGATTAAAAGTTGCCATTTTATAAAGTGACGATGAGAGATTTCCGCGGCTTTAAATGGACACTACAGACTACCATACTTTTGTAATTCAATTAAAAGTGAACTGGAGTTTCCTGAATAAAAAATTTTCCTTTAATAAGATTTTCAGCAGTGTTCTGTTTAGCCGAAGGGTTTTTATTGACGAAATATTTTACGATCTTGATGATGAAAACTTGTGTCGTGATTCTAAACGCTCAATCTTGAGGTCATTTTTGAAGGTCTTTGGTCAAAATCAACTTGACCCCCGATAGAAAAATATCATTTTCTTCAATATCCTTTTTTTCTTAATTGCCATGAAAAAGAAGTCCTACCTACTTCACGAATGTATTCACTTGGATTCGATCTATCCAGAAATTCCAGTGTGAGGCAATCGGTTCCAAGGTTTTAGTCAAAGGTACCTCAAATGTCAAATATTTGCAATGGCCATAAACATAACGCCTTTAAACCAAAAATTTTAATCTTTACTGTTTATCCACATTGACAAGAATGACAATATCTACCAATCGATCAACATTTCCATGTTCACGGTCATTAAAACCGTAAAATATATATGCATTTGCAATGAAAAGTAATTCTACCCAAAACATTATGATTTTATATGTGCGCATATTAGCTCTCCCCTCCGTAAACCTGAAAAGGTCCACGTGTCAAGGTCAACTATATATTCAGCAAAACGCTTGAAGGCAAATCCATCCACATCCTTCAAACACCACATATTTATCCACTTTAATAATGCTCTTAGCGATAATCCAACTTTCACAATCCATCTCGGGATGTTTCTGCAGAGCCCTTATCTCGGCCTAACGGCATTGACATTTCTTTTCAGCAGAAACATCCATCGGTGTTGCCCGACCCATGGTTATATTCTCGCATATACTTTAACTACTACAAAGGAAATTAAGGTATCAACATTAAACTGTTCTTATTACAAAATAATTTAAAGGCCAGACTTGTAAACAGAATCTGAAGTACACATTATATTCACAGAAAATGCAATATAAAGAGAGACCTTAGCTACCGTATGCAATAATGACGTAGAGACAAAAGAGCACATGTTCTTGCAGTGCAAGAATGTCAAACAATTGATTCATGTATTTTTTTACTGAAGAACCGTTATCATCCATAAATGAATGTGATACGTTTTTGGCTACAATTTTGAGGATGAACTGTCCGAACAAAAAAATAAACTTAATTGTAATATATTTTGAAATGTGTGGGTACCAATGTAAATTTGTTAGCATATCCCTATGTCTTACCGGATTTAAAATGTTCGTTTCATAGGAAACATAAAATTGATAAAGGGACAGAAATCACAAATATACCTGACTTTTGTTTAATGAAATAAAGATCTTTTGAGAAAGTTTTTTACAAAATATTTCACAGGACACTTATGTTCGCTGTTTTCATTCAACGAATTTGAATTAACGAAATTTTATTTCATTGGCTGTAAAATTAATAATGCTTATTCTGGGAATTTAAGCCGAAGAAATAGTCCTTATTGACAAAACCAAACATAAATCATGCCTGCAAAATTAAGTGAAATTAGAGAATCTGTTAAAATGGCTAACTTAATTTATTAACATTGTTTCAATTTCGACACAGATCTGACTCTATTTTATTTTATTTTTTTATTGCCTGAATTATAATCATTATAACCTCTGAAGGGTCTTTATGACTCATCATGTCCTTTTATTTTTGTCTCTTTTTTCACTAACGTGAAATGAGGCAATATACATTACACACGTATATATATAATATTCTTTCTTGTGTTTGAAAGCTTTCTTTGATTTTTCTTTCTCACTTCTGTTTATTTGGGAGCGTGCGCGCCCGCGCGTGTGCGTGTGAGTGTGTGTGTGTGTGTGTGTGTGTGTGTGTGTGTGTGAGCGTATATGCGAATGTGTATGTGTGTATTTCGTGTCCTCTTTTGACTGTTCTCTGCTCTATTTATGTTTAAGTGTCCTTCATTTTTACTATACCTTTCATTTTGCATTTAGAAATCGCCGGACGAAACAATAGTGAAATGTGCTTTGACCATCTGTGGTTATGTGGCGGAGCAAATAAATGGGGTAACCAAAAAAGGTGTTTTCTTATTTCAGTTAGATTCAATTTTGAATCGGGCAGTGATGTATAAAACCTATTCAGGACCTTCGCAGAAGAAGGATGCCTCTTCACGTGATTTCTCTCACACTTTTCCATTAAATGCTTCAGCAAGAAATATGAGTGAGGAGGAACAGAAACAGGAACAAGAAAGATTGATGATGGAGATACAATACTTGATGTCAGATGAAATATTTGACGACGTTGTAATAACACCTACACCGTCAGATAATGTAAGTTTTATTATCATTATTATTATTATTTTTATTATTATTATCTCATTTGAATAAAAGCAAGTTATGCCTCAGAGAGGAATAAATATTTCGTTCTGCAGAAAAAACAAATGATGCAATAATGTACATTGTATTTAGAACTTGTGATATGCTTATCACTTGAAGAAATAAAATTGAATGGGAGATAAATTGTCATAAAGGAAGCAAAGATTAAACAAAGTAGTATTTTGACCTCCAAACAAAATACAAACTCACTTTAATTGTGTCCTGCTAAAACGCAAAAGAAGCGAAAGATATATCATCTGTATGGTCATTGGGTTACGTTTTGGAAACGATAAAAGGACGCCTAAAATGAAAAGTTTTTGCAAAAACAAAATGATAGCATTTCCGAGTCTAACTGTGCCTTTAAATTAGAATTCAAAAATCAAAATCAATTTATGTGGATCATCATTTTTGCCAATGAAAAGAAAGTATTGCTCGAATAGGAAACTACTTCCCGGAACAATATCTTTTTAATTGATTCTTCAATTAACAAGTATGTCAAAAAGCAAACAATTCTTTCAAATCATGTGTTCTAAAATACACTGTAATACAACGTTACCGTAGCTAAAGACATGTGATCATCAACCCTGATATTATTACATTTTTATATGTCTTATTTATATTTCAGTGTAGTTTAACAGAAAGGTGAGTGTTTGAACATTGTATATGCATTATCTGGTGTCATAAACTAGGTCCCAATGTTAAAATGGGGAAAAACCTAGTAAAAAATCAAAAGGGTGATTTTTTAGCTAAAATATCCAGGACATTTGTCAAAAATGTTACTACTATGACTTCTAGCTAATGTTCGAATAATATTGTTTTGAACTCAAAGCCAAAATTATACCCATCCAAGGGTATATAATGCGTGAACGGGTGAATATCAAATTAAGTTTTCATTTTGCTATAATTCCTCTTTATTTAATAATTAAGTTCGCATAAACAATAAATAACGCAGAGATCCCAACTAAATTTCTGTAAATATCTATTAGAATTTACACCTAACCCTTAGTTTATAAAAAGAGTGGGGCAGTCTTTTTAGATTTTAGGCTGATTTATAATTTTATTCAAAACATTTTCCAATATCAACTGTTGGTCAAACACCATTTTGTCAGTTAATCTTTTGAAATATAAAGTCAATTCAGCTCAACTTGACTATGAAAATATGAGCATAATGTCACTTTAACAATCGACAGGTTACAATTTCATTCCAAGTATCCTGGAAATATGTCATGTCGTTTTGATAATTTTTATCTCAAATTTAATTTGGGTCATCCTGGGTTAAAATAAGGCCACAAGCATTCTGGATGTTATATTCTTGAAATTTGACAGACATGTTGTTTTAATGATGTATAATTCGAGATTGTTGGAGGGTCACCTTTGTTTAAAAACTATGTCACAAAGCCCAAATATGGACAAAACACTACATATATTATTTTTGCCAAATCTAAAGGCAATCTTAGCCAGAAAGATAGCTTTGTTACAACCAGTTTTGCAATAAAAACGAGTTTTGCAATAATTTTATTGCAAAACTGGTTGCGATGACATGATTTTATTGCAATTTGATTACAACCGGTTTTGCAATAAAAAACGAGTTTTGCAATAAAATATTTTTCTATTGGATTTTATTGACATTATGCAAAAGACATTATAAAATTTATCTATGTATATTAGGATTGATGCAGGAATTATTTTCTGGGATAATGAGTGTATATGCATATGATCAAACATTAATTTACATTCTCAATTTCATTAGTCTTTTTCCTTTTAATATATATGATGAAAGGATGATCATCATGAAATATCAGGACATGTACATTTACAGCAACAACTGTATCTGCTCAAATTTCGGTGATATACATACAAGAACTTTTAGTAAGGTCTTAACTTACCAGTTCTTTGATGAAAGGAAAAAAAAACGAGTTTTGCAATTATAATTTTATTGCAAAACTGGTTGCGTTGACATGATTTTATTGTAATTTGATTACAACCGGTTTTGCAATAAAATATTTTTTCTATCGGATTTTATTGACATTATGCAAAAGACATTATAAAATTTATCTATGTATATTAGGATTGATGCAGGAATTATTTTCTGGGATAATGAGTGTATATGCGTATGATCAAACATTAATTTACATTCTCAATTTCATTAGTCTTTTTCCTTTTAATATATATGATGAAAGGATGATCATCATGAAATATCAGGACATGTACATTTACAACAACAACTGCATCTGCTCAAATTTCGGTGATATACATACAAGAACTTTTAGTAAGGTCTTAACTTACCAGTTCTTTGATGAAAGAAAAAAAAACGAGTTTTGCAATAATTTTATTGCAAAACTGGTTGCGTTGACATGATTTTATTGCAATTTGATTACAACCGGTTTTGCAATAAAATATTTTTTCTATCGGATTTGATTGACATTATGCAAAAGACATTATAAAATTTATCTATGTATATTAGGATTCACATGCAGGAATTAATTCTGGGATAATGAGTGTATATGCATATGATCAAACAATAATTTACATTCTCAATTTCATTAGTCGTTTTCCTTTTAATATATATGATGAAAGGATGATCATCATGAAATATCAGAACATGTACATTTACAGCAACAACTGTATTTGCTTAAATTTCGGTGATATACATACAAGAAATTTTAGTAAGTTTTTAAATTACCAGTTCTTTGATGAAAGAAAAAAAAAACGAGTTTTGCAATAATTTTATTGCAAAACTGGTTGCGTTGACATGATTTTATTGCAATTTGATTACAACCGGTTTTGCAATAAAAACGAGTTTTGCAATAAAATATTTTTTTCTATCGGATTTTATTGACATTATGCAAAAGACATTATAAAATTTATCTATGTATATTAGGATTGATGCAGGAATAATTTTCTGGGATAATGAGTGTATATGCATATGATCAAACATTAATTTACATTCTCAATTTCATTAGTCTTTTTCCTTTTAATATATATGATGAAAGGATGATCATCATGAAATATCAGGACATGTACATTTACATCAACAACTGTATTTGCTCAAATTTCGGTGATATACATACAAGAACTTTTAGTAAGGTCTTAACTTACCAGTTCTTTGATGAAAGAAAAAAACGAGTTTTGCAATAATTTTATAAAATTATATAATGTCTTTTCCATTATCATATTTGCAATAAAAAATATTTTTAACCATAGATTTTATATGCATATTTCTGAATTGAATCCCTGCATGTGAATCCATATAGACAAAGATAAACATTATAATGTCTATGAGTATAATCTCAAAAAATCTGATATTATAGCGAATATTTTATTGCCAAACTAGTTTCTATTGAAAACTGGTTGTGAAAAAATTGCAACAAAATGATGTCATCGCAAGGCGTTTTGCAACAATGTTATCATTAAATTCTGAAAAACACTGGTAAGTTTCGACCTTGTAACAAGGTCATGTAAGAATATCATCAACAGTTGTTGTTGAACATGTAATGCCCTGATATTTCATGATGATCATTATTCCATCAAAAATACTAAAAGAAAATAAAGCAACTTTTAGAATGTTATAATCATATACATGTATACAATACTCCCGAATATAAGCCCTGCATGCAAGTTCTTATTTACACATAAGAAATTTATAATGTCAACGGTATAATCTCAATCAAATCCGATAGAAAAAATATTTTATTGCAAAACTCGTTTTTATTGCAAAACGGGTTGTAATCAAATTGCAATAAAATCATGTCAACGCAACCAGTTTTGCAATAAAATTATTGCAAAACTCGTTTTTTTTCTTTCACCAAAGAACTGGTAAGTTAAGACCTTACTAAAAGTTCTTGTATGTATATGACCGAAATTTGAGCAAATACAGATGTTGCTGTAAATGTACATGTCCTGATATTTCATGATGATCATCCTTTCATCATATATATTAAAAGAAAAACGACTAATGAAACTGAGAATGTAAATTAATGTTTGATCATATGCATATACACTCATTATCCCAGAATTAATTCCTGCATGTCAATCCTAATATACATAGATAAATTTTATAATGTCTTTTGTATAATGTCAATAAAATCCGATAGAAAAAATATTTTATTGCAAAACTCGTTTTTATTGCAAAACCGGTTGTAATCAAATTGCAATAAAATCATGTCAACGCAACCAGTTTTGCAATAAAATTATTGCAAAACTCGTTTTTTTTTCTTTCATCAAAGAACTGGTAAGTTAAGACCTTACTAAAAGTTCTTGTATGTATATCACCGAAATTTGAGCAAATACAGTTGTTGCTGTAAATGTACATGTCCTGATATTTCATGATGATCATCCTTTCATCATATATATTAAAAGGAAAAAGACTAATGAAATTGAGAATGTAAATTAATGTTTGATCATATGCATATACACTCATTATCCCAGAAAATAATTCCTGCATGTCAATCCTAATATACATAGATAAATTTTATAATGTCTTTTGTATAATGTCAATAAAATCCGATAGAAAAAATATTTTATTGCAAAACTCGTTTTTATTGCAAAACCGGTTGTAATCAAATTGCAATAAAATCATGTCAACGCAACCAGTTTTGCAATAAAATTATTGCAAAACTCGTTTTTTTTCTTTCATCAAAGAACTGGTAAGTTAAGACCTTACTAAAAGTTCTTGTATGTATATCACCGAAATTTGAGCAAATACAGTTGTTGCTGTAAATGTACATGTCCTGATATTTCATGATGATCATCCTTTCATCATATATATTAAAAGGAAAACGACTAATGAAATTGAGAATGTAAATTAATGTTTGATCATATGCATATACACTCATTATCCCAGAATTAATTCCTGCATGTCAATCCTAATATACATAGATAAATTTTATAATGTCTTTTGTATAATGTCAATAAAATCCGATAGAAAAAATATTTTATTGCAAAACTCGTTTTTATTGCAAAACCGGTTGTAATCAAATTGCAATAAAATCATGTCAACGCAACCAGTTTTGCAATAAAATTATTGTAAAACTCGTTTTTTTTTCTTTCATCAAAGAACTGGTAAGTTAAGACCTTACTAAAAGTTCTTGTATGTATATCACCGAAATTTGAGCAAATACAGTTGTTGCTGTAAATGTACATGTCCTGATATTTCATGATGATCATCCTTTCATCATATATATTAAAAGGAAAACGACTAATGAAATTGAGAATGTAAATTAATGTTTGATCATATGCATATACACTCATTATCCCAGAATTAATTCCTGCATGTCAATCCTAATATACATAGATAAATTTTATAATGTCTTTTGTATAATGTCAATAAAATCCGATAGAAAAAATATTTTATTGCAAAACTCGTTTTTATTGCAAAACCGGTTGTAATCAAATTGCAATAAAATCATGTCATTGCAACCAGTTTTGCAATAAAATTATTGCAAAACTCGTTTTTATTGCAAAACTGGTTGTAACATAGCTTCTGTTATTTTTAGATCAAATTTGAAATAATTCTTTGGGTTAACAGTTAAGATTTAGAAATTATATCGGTTTTGTTCATATTTTACAATATTTATTGTTCCTTGCCATTAAGATTCATATCGCGAAAAGACCATCGTGGTCCTGTTGTAATTTGTAAGACAACATGCCTGACAATAGTTAAATTTAAAAGATATGAAGTAACAGTTTTACTGTTTTGAGTTAGTTATTGTATAACATCATTTTTAATGTCATGCTTATTCAAAATTGCTAATAAAACGTGTTTTGTGCATAATCTACTGCGTAACATATACACAATAGCCGATTTGAAGAAAAGAAACAATTATTTCGACATAGTTCGGGATGGTTTTTCAAAACAGGTCAATGTGTAGGTTGGTATGTCTCAAACATTATTTCAAGCTAAAGTTTATACCGATACAATGGTTATTATAAAGTTATGATGAATTTATCAAATTATTACATGATGTCTCTAATGAATTATTACATACTGGTGCCAAAAATAACCACAATATCAAAACAAATGCAGTTATTTGGTTTGCTTATATTTTTGATGCGATCCTAGATCTTTTGCGTTCCACTTCCAGCACGTGGCACCAGAAAACAAGCACATTTATTTGGTTATTTCCTTCCAATAACTGAGGTTTGTCTTCATCATTTCACAACATTCACAATATCTTATATCGGTCGATTTTCGAACGTGTTGTAACATTGAAGTTACTGTTGTATTAAAGTTTGTTTGTGACGTGATCTTTTGTTGTAGATTAATGTGTTCATTGTACTGACAGATGAAGAACCTATCCGATATTTAAACTTTGGATATTTTTCCACCTATTATTTATCAGAATAATGGACAGTTTATGTATTTGCAGATGTGTAAAAATAATGTCTTAGTGTTGGACAAAATTAAAATGTTAACTAAGCATTATATTTACAAAACACGTGTTAATTTCTAATACTTAATATATCATCCTAAGTTAAACCCTTTAATTTGGTGATGTTTATATCATAGACTTGTTCCCATAATTCAGTTTCTTATATTTGTAATAATACAGAATTCATTCACACAAACATTTCTAAGTTTCACAAAAATAGTGTAATTCTTTATAATATCAAATGCCAAGAATCCATGCATGTATCATTATTTGATGCAATATACACATGACTGTTGATGGCTTAATGAATTATAAGGAACATTGGTAATATAGATTTTTTAGATTTTTTCAGATTAGATTTAGATTTTTTTCAAGTAAATTCTAGAAAGTCATAGACCCATGAGGACAACATATATACAAATGATCAACATATTTACATAAAATGCATACATGTATAAAGAAATCAGCATTTATGTACATAATAGATATTTAACATTGTTTCCTGCCATAATGTATCCGAAGTAAATGTTAACATTCACATGTTCTCTTGGTAAGATATATAAGCAATATTAAAGCTACATTAAATAAATTTCATAAAACAGAAATGGCGACATTTTATAAATAAATTTGGTTTTATATCGACTCCAGATTTTATTTTGGTGTCAAGACAACCAAAATAAGTTTTATAAGCTTAAAAAATGGGCAACCTCATTGTGGTGAAATCGGAAGTACAATAATAATTATTTCTGTTTGCATGAGAAACTCAGCCTTCGGTTCATCCATACATCAATATCAAAACAACAAACATGACTATGTGCAGCAGTCCTAATCTTACGGTATATTTCCGCATTGTAACGGATGTTTTCATACAAATTTAATCCTTTTTATGAGATGATTACTTTTTTTTCTAAACCACAGGCCTGGTTCACCGTGAAGCTAAAACGGTAAAGTGTGTTTGCACAGGAAAATCTCATATTTACTGTGTTCTGGACGCATACACGAGCTGATTATTGTCTTCATTTGCATGCTAAAATTCGTATACGAACTTTAGTGTTACCGTGAGGTTTTCCGTTTAGAATCCTAATTTATGAACAATATTTGATGAGATTTACAACATACCTGTTAAAAAGGTTTATGAAACTGTATAATGCTTGTTTTTTAGACCGACGGCAAATATTTTTACATAATTATTTAATGTAACTTTAAAGATATATTTTTTCCAGAACTGATCATGTATTTTAATTTAGTATATCCGAGTATGTATAATACAGAAATTACAACTATATTTCAGACACAATGTTATTGAAAGAAAGTATACAAAAATAAATTAGTGCAAACTACCCTTGCGCAATAATTGTACATTTATGTTTAATTGCTTCTTTTCATTAAGATAATTCGCCTGGATTAACTACAGCCAGTGAAACGGCTTTGAGTTTTTAATGTTTTTATAGAAACAAAGCAAAACAGCTATTTCGTTTTGTTTAATAATGAAATAAAAACAATAATCACTGATGATTAGGAAATAGATATCAATTCTGAGTGCATTGTTGTAGAATAATGCACGGTTTGAGTTCAAATGAGTAGTAATATAATCACGAAGGCCGATAGGCCTGAGTGATTAATTACAACGCATTTGAACGAAGGATTATACAATAATGCACGAAGAATTAATATCTATTTCCATTCTAACACGTCAAGAAAAAGTATAATTATAACTATAAAGTTGGACTTTATGTTTGGTGGTTAAATTTGTTTTCGCCTCAGAGTTTCCAATAGAAACGTTCTTTAAATGCTGTTCCAGTGGGTTAAAAAAAAACTGTCGTTAAATCTACTGTGTGTAGAAACATTTTGAGAATAACGAATTTTGAAAACGTTGATAAAACTTTGTTTGTTCATTTTATTTCACTCTTTAATTTTTCAAGCGAAATACAAATTATTAAAAGTGAAATAAATGTTAAACCTAACTCGTCTGCGATATTAAAATAACGTACTTGATTTGATTGTTTTGCACGTGCTGCTTGGCGCTACATTGTGACGTCACGTAAACAACACTTTAAACGTTTGTACAGCGTTAACGACTGAATTAAAGATATTGGTGTTCGGATTCATTTTCTTAATTAGACCATTTTCTATTATTCAAGATAGTTTTCACAACAAAATTCGACAAAAAATTGTTTCTATTTATCAGATTTTTAAACAAAATGGCGCCTTCAATGTGAAAATATACAGGGAGATAATAAGAACGGCGAGTGCATTGTTGTAGAATAATGCACGCTTCCGGCCTTCTTTGTCTATAGGAAAATTTCCGATAGTGTTAGAATGATACATATACTTACATAATTTTACTTTATTATTACAATATGTTTAAAAGCCCCAAACGTATAACCGATAGTGATGTTTTAACTTACCTGGACATACACACAAAATAAGACAGTTAAGCATGGAAACCGTGCTTTTTAACTTCATGCATTCCTTTAAATTTCACACCCTCAGAAAGCAAGTTACTTCAAGTGTCCAATAAGTACACAATTGAGGCAAATAAGTTTTAATTTTTGTATTGAATTATACAACTGTCCATTATTAAGACAAGAGAGAACATGTTTAAGTAAGAGAAACTCCTCAAACCGTTCATTATGTGATAGAAAAAAGAGACGTCGGCGCACAGCGCCTCAATTTGTTAATAAACTGAATTGCCGTTTTTAATCATTGTAACTTAATCTAGTATATTCATATATTTTTTATCAGATTTGGCAGGCTAGAAGTATTCAAAAACCCTGTGTTGTTTATCTACTCTGACAGTGACAACAACCTGAAAATTTCAGAAGATGTTATGGCACAGATAAGTAGTATAGATGTAACGTTAAATGTTGTTGCTGTATGTGGCCTATATAGGACAGGAAAGTCTTATCTGATGAACAGGTTGGCGAACGAAAGGAAAGGTATTTGCGTGTTTCGATAATGTTTATGAAATACGTATCCCTAGCGTTAGCATGTTATTTAAATTCGCACAGGTAGTTTATAGAATATTTTATTTTCATAAAAAAAAATTTCTTTGCCCTACACTGTTGTTAGCTCATATTTTGTATTTTGATATTGATCTCCCTCAAACTTTGAGTGAAGGGATAATTTTCTTTGCTTCTAAAAATGGAAACATGAATAAGTTCAGACCGAGTCGGATATGTATAACTGTTTAAATATCAATGGAACTGCTCTTTTCAAAATATTGTTTTTTATATATCATTTTACTTTTCTATCTTTATTTATATATTTTTATTTGTGTGTGGGGGTTGTGTGCGTTTTTTGTTTTGCTTGTTTGCATTTGCTTTTTTCTTCTTTTTTTTATAAAGGATTTTCACTTGGGAGCACAGTTCAGTCTGAGACAAAGGGTATTTGGGCCTGGTGTAAACCACATCCAACACAAAAAGAACAGGTTTTACTTTTACTAGATACCGAAGGTTTAGGAGATGTAGCCAAGGTAAACATATACTAATATCTTCATTAAATGGCATTGTTTATAAAATGGCTTATATCACTGTAGCTCTTAATGTGTTAATCAGAAAATTATCTATTCAAATAAATAAAATGTTAAAAAGATGTAATTCAGTATTTTGGATGGAAAACAAATCATAACTCATTGAACATTTTGCTACTTTTTGACAAATTATTTTATATTTGACCCAGCATTTTCATGTGATCAGATTCTTACATACCCGACAGCCATTATTAAAAATGCCCACGTTGTACTATTTGTTGGGCTTCATACTTGGACACAACAATAATTTGAATAAGATTTTTAAAGAACTTAATTGATTATGACCTTCATTCATTTGTGACCTTTCCCTTGAGGGTCAAATTAATGATTTTTTTCTTGATTTTTGCTATAATTGCACGCCCGGTAACCAACAGAGCTAGCTCTTTCGGGGGTATACAGAAAATTGCTCTGTCGCTACTTCTGAGCTAGTGCATGTCGCAACAAAGGAAACGTGTTTTCTATTTATATAAAAGATATCTTAAGAATTGACTCGAATATCAATATTCATATAGAATGCTATACCATGTGAACTTGAATCATGTTTCTATCGTATAGATAACGAATTCTTGTTTGAATTGTAGTTGTGGCGGCGTTTCCTATTAGTGAATTGAAGTTGGCGTTAAAAAAAGACTTTTCCATCACAGAATAAATAATGCAATTGCTTCTTACTTTATTTCTAAAGCAGTTCATATTAAAAACAAATAAGTTTCGAAAAGATGTTACGTCTATAATGAGATAAAAATTAAAATCGAAGCTTAGTGTTTTTTTTATACAATATCATGATGTATATTCTGCAAAAACATTTTGTCATGCCGCGAAGGAAATAGCTTTGTAGCCTACGGAGATAGGAAAACATTGTCGTTCCATCTAAAGAAAATGTAAATAAAATGATTTGTAACAAAGCCAGAAATTTAAAATTCCTTATGATCGTTTTTATATGTACCTTTGTTTTTATTGACGACTCGTAAAACTAAATCCTGTCATTCTGCAGTAAATCATGCGTCTTATGCATATCATTTTTTACCTATTTTAGCATAAAATCGGCTATTTTCCCCTCTTTTGTCCATGTTACAATTAGGCCAAATGCATGTATTAACAGAGTCACGCGATCTTGTTATAGCCCGGTTGCTCTATACGCAAAACATACAGGACCCAGTAAACAAAAAAAAAACAACAAATAAATTGTGAAAAACAAAACGGCTAAATTGTAAAATGTTGCAGGCTCGGTTTGATTGAGCCTGTTCATGGACGGTACTGGAAAGTGCAAGTTACCGTCCACGCCCGCTAGCTCCGGCTTCGAGGGCCTCAATCGCATAATGGCGAAATACCTGGCTAATCTTGGTTGTCGCCCTTTCAAAGAAACGGACAGTTGTAAATGTAAAACAAATATATATATGTCGTTCAATTTAACCTAAGTAAATAAGATAACACAGAGTGAATATGAGAAAATTTTAAAAAGTTTTATTGTTGTTTATATTGATAAATACACTTTATCATTCTTTGTTAGAATAATGTTTATTTTTTATGAACTTGTGCTTTCAAAAACGGTTTCTGAGGGCCATGCTCTGTCTTGTGTAGAATTATGTAATTACTTGAGTCGTTAAGTTTCTTTAATCAATTTAAATTCGTCATTTCGTTCTGCTCTGAGCATTTGATTTGTATTCCCCGCGTTGTTGGCCCCGGAAAAATATAACACGTACGTAAAACATAGTGCCAAAATGACGTGTGAATTGGATAAATACTGTCCAAGTGCAAACCGTTGCTCCTTGGGTTTTAATATATTTTATATTATGTTTTTTAATTGAATAAGCCTATATCGATCTGGTTTGAAATTGAATGCTATAATAGCGTCAACTTTCGGTACTTTTGGAGCGCTTGCCATACCGGGCTCGGGCAGAAACCGTTCCTCGAGACTCTGTAGACGTAACACGGAAAAACATGCGTTAATCCTATATTGTTAAAAACCCACCTCAAGCAAGTAAAATGTTGAAATTACCTGTATGTCAGTTTTTATGCAACATATATGCCAAATGACTGCGTAAAGACCATGTTATTTAAGTATTTATTGTTGTGCACGTTCATTTCCTATCAATGTTCGTTTTATATAGCAATCAGAGACACATCAGTATAGAAAATAAATAAAGAATAGCAAATGTTACATAAGATAAGTCGTGCATATATAATTACTACATAAATTATATAGAACTATCGTCTTAACGACATGACTACCTCCCGCATTCTCGAAAAATAAATATAAATTTCGTTTATAAATTTATTTTTATTTCCGAGTAAGAGTAAGATTTTAATTGTTTTCTAGACGGAACATCAACTGATAAGGTATTCTGGTTAAGACAACTTTATACCTCTATTGACCCTAAAATTTGTTGTTAAGCAGGCGCGAATTGGCAATAATGTTATTTATGATTGAATTTACTTAAAATTTAAGCACAACTACCTTAAGGACAATGTCTTAAGAAACATTTATTTAAATTTGACGTTGTTGACAAATATATACCTTGACTTTAGAGGTAAATTATTGTAAATTCAGATTTTTGCTATAAGTTTTTATAACTTTGTATTTAATGAACAATACAAGATAAGACAAGACATTACAGAAGATCTAATTGAACTTGACTATAACCTTTATTTGACCTTGGCACTTGACATTGACCGTCAATGTATTTTTTTTTAATTTGCGTAAATTGTCATTACTTGCAGATTTGATTCATATTTGGACAAACGAACAGGTTGAATTTTTTTATATAAATTTGAACTTTGACATACTAACCTTGACAGTCACAGTCACATTATTGAAATTGGTGTTTTTATTGACAGACTTTATTCATACTGAGACAGAGGACCACATATGACCAAACAGACATGTTGGACAGTTTTTATATGACTTTGACCTTATATGGACTTGACTGTCACGATCAAATTATTGAAATTTGCTTTCAGATATTGTCAGTTCTTTTTACTTAAATATGAATTTGATTCTAAACCGACATGATGATAAATTCAAATTCGAACTTTCAGTGTCAAATATGATATTTGAATTGTATTTGTCACCTAAAAATGTTTGATGGAATACTTTTTTTCTAAAATGTTCTTACCATGATATGTTTGACTTTAGAATTATTTTCCATTTCAGGGGGACACTGAACATGATAACAAGATGTTTAGTTTAACAATACTTCTCAGTAGCACACTCATTTACAATAACCCAGGTGTTTTCAATCAAGATGCTGTTGAAAAATTAGCGTATCCTTTTAGAATGATTGCAAAGTAAAAGCCTTTTAAAAGATATTCTTATCGGAAATGACAAAGGATAAAGTTTAGATATTTGACATGGTTCTTTGTGTGTGGACCTCTATCTTGAGGTCTATACGCCGCTTTTCATGGACTGACACTACTGTGACACATTGAAGGTTCCATGATAACCGCCGTATAAACACATCTGCGGATGTTTCTAAATTAAAAATTATACCATTTCATGTTCAAATGTTGATTTCTGCTAAAGCCGGTGCTAGGGGGCATGGACAGTAGTTTGAACTTTCCAATACCATTGTACAGGCTCAATCAAACCGAACCTGCAAGATTTTCAATTTTGACGTGTTGGGCTTTTTTAAGGCATTTTTTTTCTCTATTCTATCAAGTTTGTTCAAATAAAAGCCCTGAGGTCCTGCCCTTTAGGAGGGATAGTTTTTCCTTGCATACATGGAGTTAAAACATTGCCTAGAAGATCTCGACTAAAATTCAACAAATTATGCCTGTAGTGTCAAAATTGACCTAGCCAACATTGTGAAGTGAAAATATACGAAGTTCGTTCTAATTCTAACCCTTTGGGATGCAAGATTGGCTCCACCTCAATGTGACATAGATTTTCGGTATGTATATATAGTAAAATATTGCTTAAGTTATCCTCTGAAGCTTCAAAAGCTACAGCTTACATATTTGGCATAATTGAAACAATGAGGTCCTCTTGAACGCTTGTTCAAATTACGACTCTTGGTTCAAAATAAGCCCTGCCCTTGGTGTCATGAGTATTCTTCGTATACATAGTTAAAAACTATAATTATAAATGTTCTCTGAAACACTGTCTGGTGAACCAATATTCGGATTGTTTAAATTAAAGCAAATTTCGCCATGGCCAAGGGAAGTCAGTGACTTACTTTTTGTTATTTGATATACAGCTATGATATATACACATTTTCAGTTTGTTTGTTTCATTTTACGCCTTTTCCCAACAGTATTTCAGTCATATAGGCGGTTAGTTTCCTAACCATCGTTCCTGGAGAGTTACACCAGTACTAGACTTCCTTCCTCCGCGCTAAACTACCAAAGCATCTCCCGGGGATCGAACCCACGCCAGAGAGGTAACTGACTTAGAAGTCATCGAATCTAACCCCTCGACCACGGAGGCGGTTACAGATGTAGATTTGAACTTTGATGTGTGCTGAAATTTTGACCATGTGCTCATTTTATTTGTAGTATTGAAATCTTAATATTAATATTTGATATAAGGACCTATGTCTTGCTTTTAATATACAGCTACGAAATTTTGACCATGTGCACAGTTTTAGATATCAATTGATATTTGATATCAGCTGATTTAGATTTTAACTTACATTCTTGCTGTTTACGTTCATCTATAATATTCGAACCATGTGCCGGTAAAGTGTAAAACAACTGAACTAAATTACCTAAGTAATGACCTAGTGTTGTTTGATGTACAGCTATGTAATAAGGATAATGTATATAGTAAACATTTAGAAAAGTATTTTGCATGAAGTATGGTCTAGTGACGAACAAATTCTGTCTGCCCTGAGATGAGCGCCATTGGGCATGAATTCATTGACAAAGTATTCGTTTCTTGTGATGTGAAATTTAGACGTTAAATTTTTGACAGTCTTTTTATCTATAGCTTATCAATGGTCATGTACATCAGTTTGAGGCATAATCCTTTTGCATATCCGAGAAAGGTCTCCACTGATGTTATAAGGCCTAAAATTTGAAATTATTTCATAAATCAACAAGCAAAAGATAATGAAGAACTATATCCAATTTCTTTGAGATTGTAAGCACGATTTGAGATAATATTATTGCGGTGCATTTCTACCTTATGAGTCATTTTGCAATTAAAATGATTTTTTCTCTATAAACGGAGTGAGTTGATGATCTCAAAATTTGCATTAATATTTTTGGAATAGACCTTCTTTGTACGCAAATCTCAAAAAGGTCTTATAATGTAAAAATAATAACTAAGTATAACCCCTTTCATACCTTAAGTTTTTAAAAATGTATATTTTAGCTGCATTTTTCCAAAGAAACAGATGAGCTATTATGGTGGTCTGATCTTCGGCGCCCGTATATAAATAGTTAAAATGTTTGACACTTTCGATAAAACGTTTCTGTTGCATGTACTTTTACTACTCAATACTAGAGGCACAGTTTTGGTGTTATATCATAGTAATTTGTTTATACTGATGTCGTTAGTTTTCCATAATCATATGACAGTTTTATAACACGAGTATCCAGAGATGTTCAGGTTTTGCCCGAAGTAAATGAAGAAGAAAATGAAGATAACATGAAGATTATCACTCCTATTTTTATTTTGTGTCTTCGAGACTTTTATCTCGAGGTGAAAGACGAAGATGGTACAGAAATGTCTCCGGATAAATACTTTGAGAAATGTTTGTCCATGCCAGACGACAAAGGCCAAGAGAAAATTGATGAAACAAGGGAATACATCAAAAAATACTTTCCCAGAAGAAAATGTTTCACGCTCGCTCAGCCAGCTATGGGAAGAAAGCTTGCTAAAATTGAAGAATTTGATGATGATCGACTCGAAGACGATTTTTTAAGTGACTGTAACAGTCTTCAAGAATATGTGTATGCATGTGAACATAAAGTTACGGATGGAGTTACAAAGGCTCCAGTCAAAGGTTATGGTAAGTAAAAACTATTTTAATATAAATATATTGTTTTTGCATGAATCAACAAGATATGTAAAGGAATAATTAAACATAATGTGCAATTGTTATTAGCAGATTCATATTACTTTCTTCGCATATCAAGGTGCATTAAGTGTTGAAAAAAGTTAAAATATGCTAAACAAGATCTTCAAGGAATGGCGGCGTTCAATTTAACAAATGCTCAAAGAAGATTTTTTTCTGTGCAGAAAATAAAGGTTTTAGGGAAATGTTAGTATTAGTTACCTGAATAAGTAGTTATAAATATAAAATAATTTGCCACAAAACTAGCTAAATGTAAACCCAGTATTATTTTATTTACTTCCATACAAAATATTAATTCACTATAACTATACTGATTGCCGAAAAGAAACATATGAAAAAGATGGTTCCGGTAATTAGCCAATGAGTTAGTTTAAAGAAATAATAAAAGTACACTTAAATTAAGAAGAGTTTGGGAAATAAAAATAAAATCATTCTGAGGCATAATGTGCCTGTAAGTAAACATTCACATGTAAACGAAGTTTACTAAAAGAAATTGCAGAGTCAAGAGTTTAGATATTCGATGCATGGCATATATTAAGGTGTCGATCCTCTACAGATCAAAGGTTATGAAGTATGCAAGCTGTTAAAAAATATTAAAATTAAAAACAGGCAAAATATTCTTCGGGTGATCATACAATATTTAAGTAGGAATATCTGAACAAACCAACTTGCAAAAAAGCAACAACAATAATGACATGATGAACGATCTTTTCAAGCATCGGAAATATAAAATCTCTGATTGAATATACTGGACGACATGACACTGCCTACACACTTCACAATGTATTGATACCTATTTTAAGAAATAATCAATATCTTTACAGTTAAGTGCTTTCTTACAGTGAGCTTTAACAATAAAAAATCGGTTCAACCCTCCCCCGCCACTCATAAATAAAGTTCATAAAAAGAAAATCGGAAAATTAGAGTGGAAAACAAAAGATAGTTAGAAAATTTGAATATTTTTTGGTAGTAACTCTCGTATTATTATGTTTTCACTTTTTTTCATCCGGCGTCCCGCGGAGCAAAAATATGACATAGCTCTAATCAGCCACCATAACATTCTTCATTCTGGCGCGATTAACCACACCTTTGTCGTGCTTTCAATTTCGGGAGGATTTAAATATTTTACAGAAATATAAATTTTAATATATAAAAAAGATATGCTAAATATATTGAATCAGTTATATACATTAAAAAACTAAATTTTTGCATTGTTTTCGTTCTTTTATATAGAAAAAATAAAATATTGTCCGTTTAATGAATAGTATTGTCTTTTGGTGACTGATTTCCTGCTTATGAACGATTTTCAGACTTTGAATCCTTTACGCGTACATATGTGAAGGCAATGGGAACAGGATCAAAACTGTCATACGAGAAAGCATATGATCAGGTGTCCAGGTTTCACAACAGCAAGCTAGTTGTTACATCTGTACATGAATTTGAAATTGAGCTGAATACAATGGATAAACCTGTGAAGCGTAAAACGGACATAGAAGGAAAAACATTTGCGATACTTAACAAAAAGCTCAAACAGTTGAGGGAGAAGATGTATCCGTACAAAATTGATATATTTGAAGATAAAGCAATTGTATGATTCCGTTCTATATTTTCCATATATGAACTTGCAGTTGCATATAAGCTCTGATTAAACAGTGATGTAATTATTAGGCCCTTATTTGATAGGTCTGGCCGTAAATATAAACTGTTATGTATATCAAGATATATAATAGATACAAAATGTATTATTCTTTATACTGTAAATCAATGTTGTTAATATTTTAAATTTATAAGTTTTAAATACTGTGCATACATGTCAAGAGATGAAATACTTAAATTGTGATAAAAAATAATAAATTCTTACGTTTGATACTTGATACGAAAACATGCAAAATTAAAATGAATGCAAATATGTTTAACTATTCAGAAAAAAATGAAAAAGATTGCTGATGAATTTCGTGAACAAAACAGTGCACTTGTTCTACACACCTTGCTAGAAGCTCTTGAAAAGCTTCATGATCACATGATCAAAGAAAATGAGGCTTGGTTTGATTCAAAGGAAGGCTTGGAATTGTACAGTCAGAATATCGATTATTTAAAAGAGGGGTTTCATAGCGAAATGGAAGACTATGACGAAGATGAGGTATACTAGCACTTTTCTTTCCCGCATTTCTTATTAAATTTTATCATGTTATTACGTTTATTAATGTTGATAAAGTGCATGCCTGATAAATGTAGCTTTATCAGTCACCCTCGGCTTAATCAGAAACCTCATCCATACATTATGAAATCTACTGAAGTGAATAGACGAATTTACATCGTACTAGTTTGAAACGTTTAAAGTGACAAATTTTGAATCTAATAGAAATTTTAACTATAAACGTATTCTGTTAACAATTTCTTTATTTATAAGCAAGTACAAATGTAAATATAATTGTAAATTACTTATTACAGCGGTTGAAAGCAATAATCAATTTCGAAAAGAGTATTAATGATGAGAAAGTGAGGATAGCTTTCCATGCCGAATTGCATGAGGATTGGGAAAGAAAAGGTGAGATAGTGTATCGAATAAAGTTTATACAATTTATCCATACAAATTAAGATAATTTTGAGACAGAAGTTAACTCTAAAAAATACTATACACTTTATTAATATTAAATTTATTTAAGTGACTTAGCTGATTTAAAACAATTTGCGGCAATGAGAGATCTTCTAGTAACGGGAATTGATTAATATGTTCTTGGCCCGATGTATTTCCGGTAGTCCGAGAACCCTACTAATGGTCTTACTTTTCAATATAATGGACCTCTACATCAATGGACATTGTCCACCTGTGTTCCAACTTGTTTAACCCTTCAAAACAGAACTCTCTATTTTAGTCCACAAAAAAGTCATTGACTGCCTCGATGACACCTTCTTTGCTTCCAAAACGTCTACAACGAAGCTTGGTTTTCAATTTCGGAAAAGTCAGAGTGGGCGATTCCGGAGGATATTGGGGATGGGGAAGAATTTCAAAGCTGCAGTCAGTTACAGCAGCCATGGCAACTTGGGATGTGTGAGCAGAACGCCTTGAGTCAGTTTGTCCCTCCTTTTACGCGCGATTTCTTGACGCAAACGTCTCAATTCATCTGCATAGTACGTACCGTTTATGGTGCGAACTTGCTCAAGACAGTCTATCATGATTATCCCCTGACTATCCAAAAAATTGAATTCATCATCTTCCCTGCTGATGGCACCTTCTTGAATTTCTTCGAAAGGGGTGAGCCAGGGTGTTTTCTGCATGTTCTGTTTTTGGGATTCTGGAACGAAGTGACGGACCTAAGTTTTATCCTGAGTTACGATCCGGTAGATAAAATCAGATCATCCTCGTAGCGAGACAAAAGCAATCTTGAAAGGTCAAGCCTGATGGGTTTCTGGTCTTCAGTCAACTGTCTAGGGACTAATCTAGCGGAAACCGTTGACATGTCATAGACATCAGTAAGAATTGCCTGAATTGAAGCAAAGCTTATACCCACTCCCTGAACATCTTCGGCAGTTTCATAGTTTGTAGCCTCTTTTGGCCGCCCAGACCGCTTATTATCGCCAATGCTCTCCCTGCTCCTCTGAAATTCTGCTGCCTATTTTTCACTGATTTAGGAAGGGGACTCCTTTGCAAGTGTATCCATGATTTCAACTTTATCCATATGGTCTAAATGACACACCCCTCTACTGATCAAAGTGTGTTTAATGTTACTTAATCTGTGTAAAACCACGTGTTACTCGGTCAGTAATCTTCAATAAGTTATCGGTATCGACTTATCTTGTGAAATTGTTACCTTGTTATAGCCTTTCCATGTTTGATAATTGTACCGTATCTCTATATACTTAGTACTATGAAATTGAAGAAAATTTAAAAAAAAACATTTTTTGGACTAACCAAAGTTTTATTGGTTGTATTATATTAAATTAGTATAGACATAAACGCAATTAATAACTTATTTCATTTTTCTTAAACACAATATTGAATTGGTATTTACTAACCTAGCAAGTTTCGTGTCTTGTGTTTTTATCCACATTTCATTAATTACTCGTAAAATCCGACGTGTACATTGAAGTGTTCTACAAGCTGATGAATTATTGATATATTGCACCAAATTATTCAACTTAAATTCCGGAAATTTTAATGCCGATCATTTATTTTCCCAATTTGGTTCTGATGGAAAATTGACACTCATTAATTACGGCGAATGTGTAGATCAAATGCAAAGCGTATGAAAGAGCAATTTACATGTTTTACTTTGATAATATTGAGTGCGTTATTATCCATATAGAATGAAGCTTTAACCAGAATCATGATGAGTATAATCGTTTTATGAATATCAAAGACAATTGCTATTTTTACCATCGTGTTCTTAAGCTGTAATACAGTTAATGATAGTTGTTTATTTGCAGAGTTTTTGGAAAAAGAATTAAACGAAAACGTTAAGTTAATGTTTGATCGAAAGTTTGAGGAAGCTGAAGCTGAGCGAAATGCCTACATTGAAGAGAAAATGCGTGAATTCGAAAGAAATTTTACAGAAAGGGCTGGTGAAGAAGCAGTAAGGAAGAAGACTTTTCTTGAACGCATCAGACTACTGTTTATATAGAAACAATGTCTTGCATATTTACATTTGACATCATATAGTTGGTGGAGGGAATATAATAATTATATTAAGAAAAAGTTCAGATGAATTTAATACTCGTTTTTTATTTCAAATTTTAAAAGTTTTTAAAATGAATATGTTAGGTCTTAGAGTACAAGTTCATTTCCTTTAACTAATTCATGCGTTTTTATGGAACATGGCAAAATTGTTTTGTAAGGGGAAATATTCGATAAAATATATCATAAACCTGTGGTAATGAAATATTTTAAAATGATACATTCATTGCATGCTATACGAAATGAAGCATCGTCTGCCCTTAAAAGGTGAAAGTTTGAATCTTAGAAACTACATGATCATGACGGTTTAGAATAAATATAGACTGTTAATTTGATGTCAATTCCGTCGATATAATAGAGAATAACAGAATCCTCGAAGAACGCCCAACACGATAAAATTGTAAATTGTAATTGTAAGTTAACTTATGAAAGGTCTAAAGCAATACGCCTACTGGTTGAGTATTTATTTATTCTTTACTCAAAAACCAAACAAAAACATATTTTTTCTGACTCAAGATTTAAAACATCATGCAAATGTAACGTAAGGTACAATAACTACAGTAGCACTGGTTTGTTAATGAAAGTGGTAGCAAGACTTTGGTTAAAAATTACTTTACTAGTGGAACGTTTTTTTATTCGATGATACTCAAGCTGCATACTCACTGTATAGATTATGATAATCAAGATCAACAAGGAAAGGCGGCGTTCAATGAACGCAACCTCCATACGACCCAGCAACAAGAACCGGTGGCAAGGAGCCCAGGTGGACCCAAAACAAAAACAGGATGGGCAAAAGACAGGTTAATCACTTAAATGATAATTTGTAACTAATAAGGAATTCAAAGAAAACAAATAAATGATTAAATCATAGGTCCTGTAACATCCTCCGAATATGGTGACGTGATTAAGTTATCACGACACAGCGAAAATTAAAGTATTTACAATAATTAATGTTTGTATTTGTTAAATGAATTTAATCCAAAGAACAGATAAGTTGTCTTGATAAATCAATACCATCTTAATTTTTCTACTATGGGAATGCAATTCTTCATTAATAAACTATAATCAGTAATCACAATGTACATATTTTCCCTCGCGGTGTCAAAATAGAGATAGTACACATTTTCATGTTATAAATATGTTCTTATGCAAAGAAGATTTTTTTCGAAAAGTAAAATTACACTCAACGTTAGAAAATTTGAAAAAAAAATATCTAAACAAAATCCCCATAACTGATTTAGACAGATCAGAAATCATACATATCAATATACCTTCTGAATATGATACAGTTTCGATTAACTAAGTGCTCGGTGATTTATAGTATCGAACATTTGTAAACATGATTAATAAAATATTTTTTAATCGGAAGAGAGACTTTGGTATCGTTTAAAAACAAATAAGAGGAATTTGAATACCAGAATGTTCTAGACAAAATTTAAAAACTTGTAAATTTTAGACATTCAGATTTACCTCTTTGTATCTGTTGAATTTATCTCGTGTAAGTCTGTGTGAGTCTTACGGTTGAAAATTAAGATAAACAGAAAAAACTCAATGTTGAAGTTACACAGTACAGGTTTTCATTAAGTGATAAAACTAATGTTTAAAAATTGAAAATTAGATTGCATTTAAAAAAAAATATTGTGATAGGAGAAATTTCATATAAACATGACTCTATATTTGGGTTACCATTTTGAAGTTGAAAAAGTTGGAAAAAAAAATCATTTTATATAACAATACAATTTGGTGAGAATATAACACGGTTTTCACGAGGAAATTTGAATTTCAAGCTTAGGCTGTGTGGTGTGTATCAGACAATAGTTGACTGGTTAATATCAGTGTGTAAAGTATGCAAAGTGTACATCTCCTTGATGAAAATACTTATAACACATGAAAATACCTCAGGATCAGCATCGACGAAACCATCAACATCGACAGAATACATTGTGACGCAGATACGACTCCTGCAGTCAGAATTCCAGGAGAAACTTCGAAAACAGAGCGAGGCTTCTCACCAGCCAACCCTTGATAAACATTTTACATTTAATGCAAATCCTGATGAGTTGAATGATATCTTGAAAAGTGTCTCTGATAAATTAGTCATCACAAAAATATATTAAATCAAAGTTAAAACTAATGAATGCTGAAGATCTGCTTAGCAAGAAGCTGAAAGAGCTGAAGAAATTCATTACACTACAAGTGCAGAAGTAGCAAGATAGTACACATAAAGAGTGAAGGTGGTAAGTGATAGAGTTAAGCCGATGGAAGATGTAATAGAAACTGTCAGGAATAAAGTATGATAAACAAGATCAACAAGGAAAGGCGGCGTTAAATGAACGCAACCCCCATATGACCAAGCAACAAGAACCCAATGGCAAGGAGCCCAGGCGGACCCCAAACATAAAAAGGACAGGGCAAAGACACGTTAATCATTAAATGATAAATAATTTGTAACTGATAAGGAATTCAAAGAAAATAATAATAGGCCCACAAAGGGGACAGGAGACCGGGGGAAAGGGGGGGGGGTTAATCAAAGAAATAAAAACTAGAGGCAATGGGGAAGATACTTACCGTAGACGAGAAAACAACAAGGGACACAAGCAAAAGTGTCACCAAAACAGTATGAAACAACATAGACATACATATGAGGAACACAGTGGGGCGCCGCCTTGGAACGGTCAGCAGCATAATAATGACTGCTGGGGAGTTTAAACCGGTTAATGGTGCACCAAACCTCGCTCTTAGCCCCACCATGTCCCTATAAACGAGACAGTGTAAATAAAATGAATCCCCGCCAAGTGAAATTCTAACAGTTGTCATGGTTTACAAAAGGTTAAATAAGTAAAACACTAAAATGATCATGTAGAAACTATCAAATTAAGAAGTAAAAACTGACCAACTGCAGGAAGGGAGCCATCAGTTATTACCTAAAAAACGCTTCAGGGGCAATTGATGAAAGGTAAGTTAATACGATAAATCATATGAAGCAAATAACAATCATCTAGAACAATATACGAAATTTAACAACGTAATAATTTAAGGAGTGGCAAGCGATGACAACGAAACCTTCAAGGACACATGTAAAAAATATAATTTCAATAATTACAATAATTCATACAAAAGTCGGAAATAGAGACTTTGACATCACACAGAGGATGGGAATATGCCCATCATCTGTCAGTTTGCACAGATAAATGAAGTATTGAAAGTTCGCAGACTCCTTAAGGGTTCGTTCATAAGGGAATACCTCACATGGGACAACGCAAAACTTCTGGAAAACACCTCTGAACACGATCAGCTGAAAGTTGCCCAGAATTGTGGCCTTCCTAAACAAAAAAAAGCTAGTGGTATCTCTTCTAATTGATCTGGATAGAAAGCCCGTCGGGTCCTCGTGAATTGTGATACCAAGCTCGTGAGTTTAGTGACTTTGTGACTTTTTGGTGATTACATGTATGTGTACATAATCTGATAGATAACGCACGAATGTGTGTATGTTAACATTTAATTGACTAGTAGTTTGGTGGGAATAACAATGTTCAAAATCGTGTAGAAACACGGGTTTTCAAACGGTTTTTGTACATTATTAAAAGTCTTTTATCGCTTAATTTCAATCAAAAATGTGTTGAATCACGCGGCTACGCCTTACTGTGCCTCTTGACACTAGCTAGAATACGTGCATATTACTAGTTATTGTTTCCATAAAAAATGTTTAGATCAAACATGTGCGTAAGCACGTGGCATTGTTTATGTTTATACTCAGTCTCTTGGATAATTTCACTTACCATACTGTGATTGGCTGATGCGCAATGCGCAAATAGCGCCACCTGATAAAAATGGCTTTGCCTGTCCTTAAACTTGCCTGTCAAAATATTAAACTGTTGTTCAAACACTAAAAGCTGGGAGATATTTTGGTATGAATGCATATGTAAAATAGAGAAAATATTCCCTAAAGAAAGTACAAAACGGCAATTGAAGATGTTGCAGGCTAAGTTTGATTAAGCCTGTTCATGGGCAGAAGTGTCAAGTGCAAACTACTGTCGACGCCCTATTACACCGGCTTAAATAGAATTCAACATTTAAATATGCAATAGGAAAATTTTGAATTTAGAATGATCCGCAGATGTGTTCATACAGTGGCCATCATGATACCTTCAATGTGACACTTCCATGCCATTCCATGAAAAGCGGCGTATAGACCCCGAGTAATAGAAAGCGTGTGCCTTTAACGAGAAAAACTGAACACAATAGAATTTTGAAATGGGATCAGCGGTTATGAAGGCTGCATATCACAGATATGAACGTCAAAAGCAGGCAATATATCCTAAGGGTTATTCAACATTATTCAAGTAGGAATATTGGAAACATCCAATAGTCAAAATGCCAAATAGTTGAAACTAAATAATTACCACAAACACAACAATAATGTCGTATTGAACTATCTTTAAGTATCGGAAATATAACATATCTGATTGAATGTACGGGCAATCCACTAAATTTAGTAATACGTAGAAATTTTCCTTTTAAGAGTTGGTAAGTAGACTTGATTTTTCTTTCTTAAAATTGTTTTTTTACGAGTCACTCAGGCCGTCTTTTCGGTATCGGTAACTAAATAAAATACATGTATATAAGTACTGGGACATTAAAAATAAGTTATTTAAATCCCAGATAAGTTATTTAGTAGTATGATTATTTTTTAAAGCGGTTCTTTGTGGTCTGCGTTTTGTTATTTTCAGTGAAACGTGAACAGTATGGTAGTTAACTATAAATCTTATGTCAATGGACAAAGGCTAAGGGAAATAATCAAAACACAGAACGACTTTGTTGTTTATGTCTGACAGTTAATTTTCTTTATGAAATGTAAAGATTTACTCTATGTACTGTTGCTTGAATTGTCGTTGTTTGAACTACGTGGGCTGTCCGGAAAGTTCGTAGACACGGCTGTAAAATTATTATAAGCAGTCATATCAATATGATGATTGAATATTTTGCTAAAGTATTTATCTGCAACATATTTCTAAATTAAAAACATGATAAAAGTAATATTCGAAAAGCGCCTATCACCATGGCAACATAATTAACAAATCACTGAGCACTTTGATTTCATGGCAATAGCTACTCGAATAATAAGTTGCTGAAAGTTGTAATTTTAATGCAAAATCTCGTTTTAATTTTTTGACATCATGAGATATTATTACATAATATTTAGGGAAAATTATGACGTCATACGCAAATAAACAGCTTGTTAACGACGATTATAGGCAATATGAAGGTGCATAAATTTTGTCTTGCAAAAATGACGTCAAATTCACAGACGGAGCAACGTTATGATATTTAACATCACTATGCCACCAACTGAGATTTTAATCGTTACTTTAAAAACAAAACCTACCATAAAATGTTAAAGGCAACTTGTGTTTAAATGTCAAACAAGATTAAGAGGCGGCGATGACAGTATATCGTATGAGAAACGCTCCAGACGACCAAAGGTAGCATCGGCGAAATATCGTATAGTGCGTTACAACAACCTTTGACAAAGACAGACATCTCAAACACTGTATGGGAACCAGTGACATTTTAGTTTTAAAATAATATTTTAAAATATGGAATTTATAAAGTAAAAGGAACATAGCATGTATTAAGTCAACACCAGGTTGAAATGGGAAAAAATTGAATAGCGGGTAAACATGAAGTTAATTTGACGCTGTTGTCGTTGTCGAAGTATATACTCGTATGTTGTATGTAAAACTTAATTTATTGCAAAATAAATGTTTTTATGGTCACTTACAAGCTTGATGGTGGGTTTAATTAGGTCTTTAGTCATAGGTCGAAATATATTTGGTTCGAAAAAGCCGTACTAGTAAGTACACTAAGGTTATCGTTATGAGTTAGTACAATGTGATAATTGATGCTGATTAAGTCCGCCATTTTAGAAGAAGAAATAATTCATAACAATTTTCAATAAATTGCTTTTATACACGGTAATTATACTTTGTTTGATCGCTCATTAGTCCAGGAAGGTTACAACTTATCCGGCAATAGCTAAACACTATAGGAATGTTTTGCCACAGTTTGGTATTTTGACTGTCTTTGTTTTCACATTTTTGTAAACAAAGGAATCTGTGTAGACTACAGAACGTTTTGCGATTGGATTACTGCATAATGTGTATAAAAAAACACCGGTGGATGATTAACTCTTCAATTCTATGTTAGTAAAATGTCTATACTAATATTAGGAACATCTCATATACACTGGTTGGAACGATTTCTTCGACAAAAGGGTAACAATAACAAATCTTTAACGTTGGTGGCGATGCTAGCCCGGCCCCAGATGTAACATTTCCGAGTATAAATGGAGGAAAGATTTACAATAAACACCACGTTAACTGTTGAGAACATGAGTGTATCAGAACTGCATCCAAAATGCTTTATCGTACAATTAGGTGGAAACGGATATTGTTTCACTAGTGCATCACTGGAACTTCTTGTTTTGTGAATAGTCAACATTTTTGCAACATTTCAAGTTCGATACAACATTTGCGGAGGTTGTGTGGTGTTGCAGTTTATTCTCAGACCTAGGCCACGTTATTTATACCAGAGATACAGGAGATACAGTTTTGTTTAGGCAGTAGCGGATTTAGGGTATAGCGGATAACATGCCAATATTCCGGATCGACTACATAATAAGTACATACCAACAAGTGAAAAGTGAAATTTCCTGGATCTCAAGTGAAGAAGAACAATTATTTACTTTACATCTTTGTCCCAGAGTGAACTTGGGACTTGATATGAATTGTGGTTTAATGTGATAGTTATGTATTATCAAAATTATTGTAAGGGACTATGTTTTGCACATTTACTTGAAAAATTGCTAGTGAAATATTTGTTTTTTTTTATACATAATGTTCTTGCATCCATTATTGTTATTATACATTTATGAATTTAAAATAGTTGAGAGTAATAATGCCTTAATTTTAAGGTGGTTTATTCGACTTTAGTCGTAAAGACCCTAAGAATTAGCAGTTTGTTAAAGTCCTTAATTGTAAGGAATACTTTAGTTAAATGTGCCTTAAGTTGTAAGGTAATTGTTTAATGCTAAAAATATTATTTTAGTAAAAATACG